CAGAGAGAGAGAGATGGGGGTAGTACCAAATCTGAAGCAACATGCAGTCAAGCTACCAAAAAAATCCACCGACGGCAGTTCAGTTCCCACGTATATTTGGTTTGCTCTCATGTATTTTTGCTCCGTTTTATTTTCAATCTACGGCCCATGTAAATTACATTGCTTATACACTTTAGTTCCATTTTCAAACGTCATTTGCACTATCCTCCTAAAATTAATGTTTGATATTTTTTTACAAAGAATACATTTTAGAGCGGTAGAATGTAGTGATTCTTTTTCTTTTTCTCTTGTACAATCTCTAATTTAGTAGGAGCAGCAGTACCATGTGAGCTCGAGTGCCGAATTGGATTGCCACATATTCATGTCTGTTTGTGTTATGTGTATGTGGTGATTGGTGGTTCCGTATCCTCACCTGGTGCATGTGATTGTGTTAGATGTACTACTAATGGAAAGTCTTGTATGTGAGAAATCAACATTAACGGTGTGGAAAATGTAGCCTATGTGGATGAATAAGATGAGTATATGCTCCTAGATAGATACGTGATCAAAGACGTATACTTGCATTAGAAAACCAGAACCATATTTACATGGCTCGGAGAATCCGACATGCCAGCTGAACGCGCAGTACATATATAGTACTCCTACTACGCAACGGAAATATTATTCTGAAACTCAGCTTTCGGAAAGATGCTAGATTCGGATACGAATTGCCACGGAAATACACTGTGCACCAATGCATGTTGAGCATGGGTTAGATCGCCCTACCTAGCTACACATACAGCCTGTGTCCTGATTGACAGTTTTTCTGTGAAGAACTACCCAATGTAATCTCAGTCTCAAACTCATCGTTGAAAAATGTTTCTCCGCTCGCCCGCATCGCCGCGCCTGCCTATATAATATGGAACCATGCATCGCCAAACCAATTCGCTCAAGCACCTGAAGTTTCTTTCCCAAAAAATGTCTGTGGCACGGACACTGACGACCTTGTCCGTCCGGCGGGGCGAGCGCGAGCTCGTGGCGCCGGCGAGGCCCACGCCCTACGAGTTCAAGGTGCTCTCCGACATCGACGACCAGGAGGTCCTCCGTTTCTACCGCTCCGGCGCTTTCTTCTACCGCGGCGACGCCTCCAAGTCCGGCATTGACCCGGCGAAGGCCATCAAGTCGGCTATCTCGGAGGCGCTCGTGCACTACTACCCTCTCGCCGGCCGGTTCCGGGAGCTCCAGCCGACGAGGAAGCTCGTGGTCGAGTGCACGGGCGAGGGCGTCGTGTTCGTCGAGGCGGACGCCAACGTCCGGATGGAAGACTTTGGAGACTCAGTGGCGCCGCCGGTGCCGTGTTACGATGAGCTGTTGCCCGAGCAGGAGAGCGCGACCGCCGTTGTCGTCGACCGGCCTTTGCTCTTTGCTCAGGTGACGCGGCTGACGTGCGGCGGCTTCGTCTTCGGGTTCCAGATATGCCACTGCATCGCCGACGGCCCGGGGATCGTGCAGTTCCTGACGGCGCTGACGGAGTTCACCCGCGGCGTGCCGGGCGCGCCGACCGTGCGTCCGGTGTGGCAGCGCGAGCTCCTCACGGCTAGCTGGCCGCCGGCCATTGCGCACGACCACGTGGAGTACGCGCCTCTCCCCGACCTCGGAAAGGACGTGGTCTCCTCCTCGGACATCTTCTCGCAGCACACGTTCTTCTTCGGGCCCCGCGAGATCGAGGCGCTCCGGTCCCAGGCCCCGGCAGAGCTGCGCTCCGCCGCGTCGCGGTTCGACCTGATCGGCGCCTTCATGTGGCGGTGCCGCGCCGCTGCGCTGCAGTACGGCCCGGACGAGCTGGTCCGCCTGCACATGTTCGTGAACGGCCGGGTCAGGAACAGGAGCCGCCACCGCCTGCCGAGGGGCTACTACGGCAACTCGTTCGCGTTCGCCTCCGCGTGCGCGCCCGCCGGGCAGCTGTGCCGGAGGCCCCTCGGCGAGGCGCTGCGGCTGCTGCTGGAGGCCAAGGCACGGGCGGAGCAGGAAGGGTACGTGCAGTCGGTGGCCGGCTTCAACGCGGCGCACAGGAGGCCGGCGTTCCCCAAGGCCCGGACGTACCTCATCTCGGACATGACCCAGGGGGGGATGATGGCGGTGGACTTCGGGTGGGGCACGCCGGTGTACGGAGGCCCGGCGACGATCATTCTGGCCACGTTCCATCTGGAGGGGAGGAACGAGGCCGGTGAGGCAGGCGTCAACGTGCCGACGAGGTTGCCGGTGCTGGCGCTGGAGCGGCTGAAGGTGGAGGTGAGCAAGGGGCTCATTACGGTCAGCGGTGGGACTGTCAGTGAACCTGATGCGGACAAGAACAAGTCAGCCTTGGTTTCTGGTCACACTCTCGCAAAGCTGTAGAAGCGCTGTGGTGGTAGGCTTCTGCGTACACAACATCAAAAAAGCACCAAGTTCGGCCACTGTTGTGCTTGTGCTAGACAGCCAGGTCGTGGCGCTAGTAATGCATCTCTTGTGGATTGTTTCCACCGCGGTATATGTTGTCTGGTTTTCTTTGATATATACTTGTAAATGGGTTTTTTCCTCGTCAGTCGTGTGTTTTTATCTATAATAACTAGCTGTCACACCCTAGCTAGTTCATGCATTAGAGTGTTGCATCATGTTTATTCTTGCCTCAGAAACCTGAAATGGGGATGACAGAACCCCCAGCCCCCTCTGAAACCAACTAGGGTTTACTAAAAACTTTTTCAATGAACCTGAAATGCCCTTCTGAAATGCCCATCATTTTTGTCTTGGTTCAGAACCTCTGCCAAAAGTGATGCACATTTTCCTAGGTCATCTTAGGGTCTTTGAATTAAATCATAGATATTTGAATTTGGGCATTTAAAATTATATAAAATATTCAGATGCTCAAATATCTCCAAACTAAAATGTTTCATGTTGGAAATAATCCAACTATGGACCAGGAGTAGTTTGGTGATTTTAGGAGTTGCCTAAGTATTTTTATTAATTCAACAAAGTTGCAGAAGTATTAAAAAACAGAAAACAGAAAAAATAGAAAAACCTTACCTGGCGCCCAGCACCCGGCCCACCTGCCGGCCCAGCCCAGCGCCGCTCCAGCGAGCTGCTTGCCGGCCAGGCAGGCAGGCAGGTGCCCGACGGCGACCGCAGCGCGCGCCACGCAGCTGGCTGCCGCCCTGCTCCACCTCCTCGCCTCGGGGCTGGATGGATGAGCTCCACGCAGCACCGTGAACCCGCAGGACACCTCCATTCTCCCCCAACCCCTCTCTCTCGCGCTCCCCCGCCATGGCCGACGCCATCGCCGCCACCCCCTCGCCGTAGCCACGCCCTCCGTCGACCCCACGCTGTGCCGCCGTGTCCAGGAGCTCCGCTACCCTCCTCTCCTTCGAGCAAGCCGAGCCCCGAGCGCTCGCAAGGCCCGAGCCCACTGCATCGACCTCGACCGAACCGCCGTCGCCGGAGATCCCCTTCAACGCCGTCGTCGCTCCGGTCCGTCCCCGGCCGCACCAAGGGCTTCGTCGAACTCCCCGTGAGCTTAGCCATCTTCCCCTCCCTTCTTTCTTGCTACCGAGCCGTGTAGCGACCTCCCGGAGCTCAACCGCACCCACCGCCGCGGAGCTCGTCGCCGACGTGCTCCCGGTCACCCTCCGGCCACTCCACGGTGTCCATCATGCTCACCGCGTCACGTAGCACCTAACTAGCTACTCCCCGCACCTCACCGACCCCTCTTGCGTCAAGTTCGACTTCGGCCGAACCCCGGTGGCCGCCAAAGTCGTCGCCGGCGCCAACTCCGGCCACCCCGACCCCAACGGACTCCACCAAGAGCTGCGGCTCGTCCTCAGCTCCACTCCGATGGTCTCCGCGACCCATTTGGTGGCCGAAACGGCCAAAACCACTTCCGCCGCCGCGTCGGGCTCGCCGGCGGCTAAACGCCGGTGCAGCCGACCCGGGTTTGACCACGGGTGGGCCCTAGTTGACTCTCCTGAGTCAATGACAGGTGGGGCCCAGCCCTGTTAATTAAATAGGTTTAGTTTTAATTAAACTTTAACTAATCTAATCACACTGACACGCGGGACCCACTGTCAGGTTTGACCCGGACGTGTCCCGTTGACCTGCTGATGTCACACTGACGTCAGGCTGACGCAGTAATTGATTTTCTGGATTTAATCTAATATAGGAAATTCCAGAATATAGTTTAAACTTCAAAAATTCATAACTTTTAATCTGTAACTCCAAATCAGACAAGTTATATATGAAAAATGATCAGAAAAATCCAATCTATCCATCTGTACTATTTTCATGCATGATGAAACAAGTTAACTTGATGTTTAATGCAGAACAAGGAAAAACACTTTAAAGGGCCATGAATGAGTTTGAAATTTGAATCCTTGATTCAAATTGGTTCAAACCCTTCTGGTCTTAGTTGCATTAGCCCAACACACTCATATTGCCATGTTTCATGCATGCATCATATTGTTGCACATTGTTTGGTGATGGTTGTGTATCGGTGTTCTTGCGGCAGGTTCTGCCTCCGAGGAGTACCGTGATTACCCTAACGAAGAACCGTATCAGTGCATCGAACCATCAGGCAAGCAACCAACCATTTGATCATATCGATACAATCTCATGTTCTCGCTCCTGCTCTCTTTTACTGCATTAAGACAACGCGTTTCAAACTGCTGTGTGCTACGGTAGTTGAACCCACTTCCTCTGCATGACCTGTCATTGCCACAGTAACTAGATGAAACCCACTAGCATGTGTAGGAGTTGATTGAGCCATATATATGTGTTGTTCCTACCATGCTATGCCTGCTATGCTTAGAGTCGTGTCAGGTCTGGTTCATCTGGGTGATGGGCTAGAGTGAAATGATTATATCGGTAATGAGAGTGGTGTGGTGAACACGATTTGGTAAAGGTATCGATGAGAGGCCATGTAGGAGTACATGGTGGGTTGTTTCATTGAAGCCGACCTTAAGCACTGAGATCTGTATGTGTGATTTAAGAATCAGCTACTACCATGCATTGGGCCCGAAACCAATGGACCCTCTCGGCTTCTTATTCACCCTAGTTCTCCGTCCAGGAGTTGCAAGTAGTTTCTGGTGTTTGTAGCCTACTGGAGGCCGTGGACAGCGCTGACCGTAGGGGTGGGCTGTGATGCGGTAGGTACGTGGCCGGGGATACCGGGCACCCGTTAGGTGTCATGGACCCCTGTACACATCGTTCGGGGCCGTATGGGAAACCTCGGCCGGACTCCCTGCGGATGGAACCTGGATAGGCGATAAACCTGGATTGGAGACTTAGGTGATTAGGTAGGTCGTGGCCGACACCCACGTTGGGCTTCCGCTTGAAGGTTGCCGAGTACATGTCGTGTAAACGACGGTAAGTGGTGAGAGCGTGTATGAAGAAGTACACCCCTGCAGGGTTAACATAATCTATTCGAATAGCCGCGTCCGCGGTAAAGGACTACTTGATTGCCTATACAGTTCATAGACAAGTAAATGGAAACTACTAAAAGCCTCAAGATAAGTGTGAGTGCCGAGGATGGCTCTTCCGTAGGAAGACGGAGGTGGATCCTCGGTAGTGTATTGAAGTGGTGAGTAGTGGACTCGTGTGCGCAAAACCATTTCAAATTGGAGTCTCGTAGGATAGCCTAGCCAAGAGTCAAAGCTGGCTTGCTGCAGTAACTCCACCAACCCTTCTTAATAATGTGCATGTATGTAGGATCTGATGTAAGTCTTGCTGAGTACCTTTGTACTCATGTTGCTATAATTTACATTTTTACAGAAGACGCTGCAACCCCTTCTGATGGGTTCTTCGTAGACGTTGACATCAACGAGTAGGCTAAGGACCAGGTAGTGATCCTGAGCTTGTGAAGGACCACGTAGTATACCTAGGCTTTCCAAGCCTCTTATATTTTACTAGTTGTCTGTACTCAGACAAGTTACTTCCGCTGCTGGTTTGTATGACTGTATGACTTGAATGCTGGGTCGTGTGACCCGTACCTATGTGTATGTTATGTATGGCTCTCTGAGCCTTAAATAATGTACTTGTGTCGTAGAGTCATGTTGTGATGCCTTGTTGTATTTGCACATATCGAGCATATTGTGTGTATGATTGAAATGCTTGGTATGTGTGGGATATGACTATCTAGTTGTTTATCCTTAGTAGCCTCTCTTACCGGGAAATGTCTCCTGGTGTTACCACTGAGCCATGGTAGCTTGCTACTGCTCTGAAACACTTAGGCTGGCCGGCATGTGTCCTTCTTCGTTCCTGTGTCTGTCCCTTCGGGGAAATGTCACGCATTGAGTACCGGAGTCCTGTTAGCCCGCTACAGCCCGGTTTACCGGAGTCCTGCTAGCCCAGTGCTACAGCCCGGACCCACTTGCTGATGACCGACACGTTCGTTGCTGGGTCATGGATGCATGTCCCTGTAAGTCTGTGCCACTTTGGGTTTACGACTAGCCATGTCAGCCCGGGCTTCTTATCATATGGGTACTAGCGACACTATCATATACGTGTGCCAAAGGCGCAAATGGTGCCGGGCAAAGGTAAGGCGACACCCGTGGAAATACCGTGCGTGAGGCCGCAAAGTGATATGAGGTGTTACATGCTAGACCTATGTGGCATCGAGTCGGGGTCCTGACACTAGCACACATGCATGTACGTTGCAACAAGAGAATAAATAGTGTGCATTTGAATTTAGTGAGAATTATATATGTAAGCATAACCATGCGAACATGTCGATAAGAAATAATTAGGTTCTGAGTTTCGCCAAACATAAAGTAATCAATAATCTATTTTTCCATTCATTGCTTGAGAGGATTTAAGGTATGAAGTTGGAAAAGGCCAGCGAATTATTTAATCTATTTTTTTCATTCATTTGAGGGGATTTCAAGATATGAGGTTTCAGAATATGAAAGTGAGGCGGTTCTTTTTTTTTCATATACAAGTCATCGATATAGTACAACCGGAGTTAATTCTACTTTGCTATTTTTTATTCATTAATCGAGGAGATTTAAGGTGTGAAGTTCCATAATATGGAGTAAGCCGGGTCTTCTCTTTTCCATGAGTAGTCAGGTCTTCTCTTCTCTTTTCCTCATGTAGCAATCCTCAAGAAATTCAGGGTCCTTTTTTAGCTAGCTTATATATCAATCCATCCATACTCCGTCCAGCATATTCCATCCATTCTTCATCCAGCTTACTATACATATAGTTTCACACACATATAGAAATTGATATGAACCCTTATTTCCTAGGTAGCCGGGCCGGGTAAATTGCATGGGTTGTGAAAGGCCTAGGCACCAAAACCAATTCGCTGAAGCAGTTGCAAAGTACCATCACCTGAAGTTTCTAGGCAGGCAGATATGTCTGTGACACGGGCA